ATATATATATATATATATATATATATATACATCATACACACACATATTATACACATACACACACACATAAAGAAAAACAAGTAGATAGAATAGAAAAAAATAGAAAGTTAGTGTTTTTTTAATAAAAAAAGAAGATAAATAGATAAAGTAGAATTAAAATAGAATAGAACGTGCTAGAGTTAGAGGGTCAAATAAAGGTGGAACAGATGTGTTTTAATTTAGGTAAATGGGTGCAGAGCCAGTGGTTTTGTAGGCAAAGATCAATGCCTTGAATTTAATGCGAGCAGCTACTGGTAACCAGTGCAAACTGATGAACAGAGGTGTGACATGCGTTCTTTTCGGCTCATTAAAGATTAATCTTGCAGCGGCATTTTGGATTAATTGTAGAGGTTTGATAGAAATGGCTGGAAGACCTGCCAAGAGAGCATTGCAATAGTCCAGCCTGGATAGAACAAGAGCTTGAACAAGGAGTTGTGTTAGTAGTATATTACGTTTTGCTGTAACGCAGTAATATAACGCATTACTAATAAATTTTGGGTAATATTATTACTCGTTACAATCTCAGTAACGCAAGTTACAACAACATATTTTAACTCAAAATTAAGTGGTGAATTTACTAACACCGCAAAACAGCACCAGAGAAAAAATTTTGCAGGTAAAATAGTTTGTCTGTTTCCTGTTGCTGGAATTAAGATGGTTGAGATGACTGCAGAGACGGATTCTACATTTGTGAGCTGGACACACTCCTGTTAATATCAGTTCATCGGAGAAAAGGATAAGAATGCATAGTCAGGTGCAATATACTTAAATAGCCAAATTAACAGATTAACAAAACGAAAGGAAAAGACTGATAGGCTATGCTGCTGAGTTTGGTTCATAGGCTAGTTGTATGGCGCGGCGCTCTACGAAAGTCCACGGAAAGGAAACCGAAATTACAGAAATAAAAGTAAACACATTGCAGTTTCGAATGATCTGTATGACCAAAAATAACAGAGTATTTTTTTGTTGTTTGTTTCCGCTGTTCGATCGCGCTGGCGCCTCACGCACACACACATACAACATTGCAAACGTTGCAGCCTGTTCATTATCAGAATAAAATAGTCAACCAAACATATAGATACACTGGTTCATTTAAATAGTGCATACTGTGTACAATCCGTGTCATTCAGCCTGAGCTCGTGCCAAACACACATTTGCTCGTGTGACGAGGATGTTTAAGCGCGTTAAGTAAGCCTGGTTTACACAATAAATAATAGTTTAGCATTCAAATACATTGCAAATATGGACACATTTAATGGATTAATGCCAAATGAGAGAGGTAGGCTGCGCGAGAATGCCGTTTGCTTTCAGTGTCGCATTGAATTAGCCTAATTCATTTTGGCTTGTTTAGCAACTTATATTTTTCATTCTTGTTTTCTTCTGAAACCGTTCAAAATAGCCTATATATAGGCTAGGTATTGTGTTTATTGTTTGTACATGATAATATTTCGCTTTATTTATCGGTGTTATTTATGGATGTAATAATGCATTTGTGCTTATATTTGTTTAACCTAAACTACAACGTAACATTAATGTAGACCT